TCGTTCTGGTCGTCCTTCCATGGCCCGAACACATGAAAATGTTGAAAAAATTCATGAAATCATCAAGGAAGATTGACGACGGACCATTGAAGAAATTGTGGAGCTGTCAGGAGTGATTTGGAGCTCAGTGGCCAGTCGGGTGACTGGTTTTTCCATCATGACAATGCCCCTGCTCACACAGCCCTGTCTGTACGACAATTCTTGACCAAAAATGGTATGACCCTTGTTCCTCACCCTCCATACTCACCCGACCTTGCCCCGTGCAACTTTTTTTTTGTTTCCTCGAATGAAAAGAGACATGAAAGGAAAAAACGACGGAGCGCTGTCAAGCATCTCAAAAGATGAATTTAGACAATGTTATGAAAAATGGAATAAAAGACTAGACAAGTGTATTAGTGTAAGTGGAGAGTACTTTGAAGGGGATTGAAAGTTTGTGCTTAAAATTTGAATAAATAAGTTTAAAAAAAAAAATAAGTTTGGTTTCTTTTGGGTACCCCTTCGTATGACTTAAAAGTAGTTCATATTAAGGGCACCAACAATTTTTTTGCAGACACGCTGAGCCGCAACCCCATAGGGTTAAGCCAGGAAAGCCGCGACCTAGTGATGAAATCTAGAGAGTTATTCGTGGCAAAGGTAAATCTGGGTACCTACAGAACACTTATGAAAGAGCTAGGTAATCTGTCGGAGCACCAACTTGGTGACCTTACATTAAGGAAAATAAGGGAATTGGAGAGTAACCCAACAAAGCTAGAGGGAAGGTACATGATTAGAGACAAAATCCTGTACTGCAAAAACGACAGGACACATCCACACTGGAGGGCTATGCTCCCTAGCCAGTTAGAGCAGCGAGTGATTCGTTATGTACATACTTTATTGGGGCATCAAGGTACCAATAGATGTATGCTACAAAATACTTCAAACATTCCACCTGAAATCCTTGGGGAGGAAGGTACGGAAGTTTATGGCACACTGTGACATATGTCAGCGTGTGAAGCATCCTAACAGGGCGTACGAGATTGAAAGGATATTTCATTTACCAACAAGGCCGGGAGAGTTACTGACCGTGGACCTCTATGGGCCACTCCCCACCGGACGTGGCAGAGTAAAATATTTGTTGGTATGCCTGGAATTCTTTTCTAAACATGTCACCCTTTACCCGCTAAAGGCAGCCACTACTAGGAGTTGTCTCAAGAAACTCAGGGAAAACTATTTTCACAGTGTAATTAAACCTGAGGTGATACTGTCAGATCACAGATCGCAATTTGCGAGTCCAGCATGGCAGAAAGCGCTAGCTGAATTGGACATACAATGTAAATACTCACCTATTCGACACCCAGAGAGTAATCCCACCGAGCGCGTTATGCGTGAACTGGGAAAATACTTCAGAATTTACTGCCACGAGATGCATAAGAAATGGCAGAGCTCATTTAAAATTGGTTCAATTCCTCAGTGAGAGAATCTACGGGGTACGCTCCCATAGAATTAATAAGCCACAGTGCCAGACCGGATCTTTTTCGGAAAATCCTGAAGAAGGAAGAGGACCAGTCGCTTAAAGAGGAGGCCTTAGAGGATAAAATACTTAAAGCATACACCCGTATGAAATTAAGGGCTGACAGACAAAACCGACAACAGAAAACAGGTAGGACGAAATGGAAACTGACCCTACAGGACCTAGTTCTGGTCAAGTGTCAGCACGCCTCAGATGCAGCTCAAGGCACTACTAGCAAATTTCAGAGGCCCTACGAGGGACCTTACCTCATCCATCGAAAGGTTAACCCCTCCATTTACGAATCAGCAACCCCAGCAGGTACAATAAGAGGAATCTTTAACATCAAACATTTGAAACCTTATTTGAAAGAAGCTCAATGAAACCCGAGTAACAGGCAAATTGATAAAAGTTAGTAGGTATATTGTCATACCAAGTGCAAGGAGGTAGGCCTAGGCTCATTGGGGCTGTAGTGCCAAAAAAAAAAGAGAGAGAGAGAATATTGCCATAGCTGGGATTTCGAAACATTATAAGGACTTTGCTAATTTTGGCAGTAATTAGCCGAACCAATTCAGAACTATGATGACTAGTGGGTAGCACTAGCTATTGGTAAAAAGAAAACTTAGACACAGAAAATTGTTTCAGTGTGCGTGGAAGAGTGAGTGAGTGAGAAAGAGAAACAAGACTATTGTACTCTGTGAAGGGGATGCTTGTATTGAAGTTTAAACTACATGAACTGAACACTATACTGTAAGGTCATTCTCTTAGGGAAGGAAAGAAAGAGAAAGTGAGGGAAAAGTGAGACGAAACATAAACAGGAGGCCTAAGGTTAACTAAACTAGCAATAACTAGACAGAACCCAGTGGGTGTGATTAACCTCAAGAATTGTGAAGTGCAGTGAAAGAAAGAAGAGAAGCAGCGATATCAGGTGGCAAGGCCACAGATCAAACTAAATGAAAAGACACAAATGGACAATGATTGAACTAATCATAGTTTTTTGTATAGCTGATAAGTTGCTATGTAGCCTTTAGCACCTCAGAGTGGCAGTAGTAATTAAGGATTTAGTTCAGTAAGGAGCAGAATAAGAGAGAGGGAGAAAAGGAGAGAGCAAGAAGGTCCAAGGATTAATGTTGTTTTATTAGAATACTGAGAAGTTCATTACTGGCTACAAACGAATATGGAATCATTCTATTTCATGTCAGCAACCATATTCGCCTGGGAGTATGTAACCGATCTGCCTACCCCAGCTCGATTTAATTTGGTAGAATGTTTGGATCTGGGTAAATTAACATGTTTGGTTAGGTCTACTTATAACATACCACAAATGGATGAGAGGCACATAGGCTATTTTTCCCCCTCAAGAAGGAATTTTAGCCCAAACTCTCCACTGAAAAAGACAATAAAAGAGAAAACGACTGGTCAAGGCAGAAGCGGAAGGAAAGAAAAAGACCCCTCACAGCTTGGTTCTTTAGGTCACACAAAATTTTATTTGTCTGAACCCATAACTCAAAAGATGAGTGGTCTCCCAACCACAAGCCAAGCATAACATTTGTCAAGCTACTGACAGATTTTACGTTAAGTTTTAGCACCTAAATTCCCTGTAATTCCTAAACGGATTGGGGGAATACTTAATTAGTGTACTCCCATTTTTTGAAAATGACCAATCCTCGTAATTTCTGGAGTTAACTTGTGGACCGAGGCAACTCCAAGAGTTGCAAGGAGAAGGCATTCGAGGAGTTGTATTCAATATCTCGAACTATTCGGATGCAAATTCCACAAGGGGAGTCTTATTCAAAATCCCAAACGCTCCAGACTCAAATTCAAAAAAAGAAATCATTGGAAGGAGTCTTTTTAGCGATCTAAAACCTCGCGGACAGAAGTGGAATGTAGTGTGTTAGTGTCGTCCACTAGGGACAAGAATGTAATAAAGTGCCTGGTGAAACAAAGTGTGTGTGTTGTAATACGAGTTCCTACTTCCCTTCCTGAGCGAAACCCTGCCAAACGACCTGAGAACTGAATCTTAGCTCCACCGGCGGAACGGTAAAGCCAGCTGTAGCCGCCGTCACCCGCAGCAGTCCAGCAGCCGGCGGCCGAAGATCAACATAGGTCAACGGGTGGGGCAGTTGGGACGTGGCACTTCCATCCAGGGGCACCAATCGTGTAGGAGACGATTAAGAACTTGACCTGGCTGGCTAGGGTCCCTACTCCAAAAGAAAATAAACTTTGCCCTTTCCAGCTGTTTATGTACCAGGCAGGAAGTTAGAAGAGGGGAATATGTTTCAAGGACAAAAGCGGTTGAAGGCAAAGTGATCTCTCTGACTTGTTTTCCGACAAGCTATCTGACGTGCCTTGTGGAGGAGTAGTGATTAGTGACTCAGACAGTGGGAGTGACAGGGAACAAAGAATTGTGGCCACAGATAATAAAAGTGAAAGTTGCCTTGTGGCTTATAAATTATGCCATTTTCAATTAATATTTGGTTTACAAAAATCTAAACCGTGATTCGAAACTGAAATACAAAGCATTTCTGATGAATGTGGCAAAGGCTTGGGCTACAGACCAGATGGTGGCGAAAGAACCAGAGTCAGACAGACTTAGTGTGACCTAGCCCATCAACTCCCACCCCACACAGGCCTCATGTGGACACCCCTGGGCGACTCTCGGGTGATATGCGGAAACATACCCTCGTGAAAATTGTGAAGAGTGAACATTCCAAGGGGAAGCATCCTTCTAGGCAATGCCATGTTTGCGCAGTTCACAAAAAAAGGACTATGACTGTCTACATTTGCAAGTGTGTAATGCCAGTTCACAAAGGGGAGTGTTTCCAGAAATATCACACCCTCAAGCACTTCTAGCAGCATTGGTAAGTGTTCTCCAAAAATTTCAGTTCATAAAATTAATTAGGAGATTTTATATTAATTTTTAAAGTGAACAGTGCACAAGTTAGGGTAGTAGGTATAAAAATTCCGGTCCCCAGGGTGATTTAAATATTTAAATAGCCGGTCCACAAAGTGTTAAAGTGAATCAGATATTTACAGGCTTCAAAAATACCTGTAAGGCTTCAAAAATACCTGTAACTGAGTTCAAAGAGACACATGCTGCACATCATTCTATGCAAAATAGGTATCCAGTTAATTTAAATGTGTGTGAATGAAACCCTTCAGTAAAACTTCAATATGTAGATGTGTATCTAATACATTTCCCGGTGTTAAAGGTCTGCAACAGGGGAACAAACCTGAATGAAATATATCAGCAACTGGTCTATGCCAACAGGCTTTCATAAGTATTGTGATGAATTTCTGCTTTCAATAAGCAGGAAATTTCTGTTTGAAATGAAAGACTATTAACTATTCAAGTAAAGCCCCTATACCATAGAATTATTCACTCAGATAGCTAGGCTCCAGTCTTCAAAATTTAATTAGTGTGCAAGGAATTATGAAAGCCAAACTACTGATGCCAAAATAAACCCTGTAGGAGTTATGATACTCAAGCAATCACAAAAAGCAATAGACTCACCTTAGCTGTATCATCAAGAACAAGCCTATCCTCATCAAAGTCCATATCACCTGAGCCAGCATTTACTCCCACCCTGCGTCCAGAGCTTCCATCCAAACCCCTACCAGGACCACCTCTCATATTTGACTTAGGAGGCCGTCCTCTTCGTCCCCGTCCTCTGCTTGAGCCTGAGCCCAAACTTGTATTCAAGCCTGTCCCCTTGCTATCAGGTGATCGAGGATCCCGCAAGTCCAAATCCTCTGGATATACAACCCTACAAATATATACAGTTACTATAAAAGTTTAAATTAGAAAATGTATGAAAAGCAGATTATTTTAAAATTTGGTTAAATTAATGACAGTCTGATCCTTACACAAAATGCAAGACTGTAGGATGTAATTTTGACATTTTAACCACACAATCCAATACTGTGAGAGAAAATATGTCATAGTTTTGAAACATTCAGACTCCTGTTCTACCAAATGTTGGTGTCTGTAAACACAAACTATTATTACAATCACTTAATGAATTCCTTCTAGTATCATTCAGCAGAGCAGTGTTTCACAGTTGTGTGAAAAATAATTACACTCTACAAACAATTAACACTAGAATAGGAATTATTTTAGAATCTTCATACATTATCAGTCTTAAACTTGACAATAACACATAGTTACTTATTCACCTGTATATGATGCGTGTATTGGTTTCAGCATCATAAACTACATTCTTTGTTCGAGGGGCTGATTCCAGGTGCTGCTGCTGCAAAACTGTCGCTATCTGCCGCAACTGCTCTTGTGTCAAAGACTGTACACTATAAATAGGTCAAACAGTTTTACATTACTAATACTGAACACAACACACATTTATACTGGAATCTTATCCAATTATTAACTGTCTCATTTTGAAGCAGCAGCCGAATCTACAACAAACTCTTATCTTTAATAAGATCTAAAAATTTGTGACAATAGTACATTAGAACAAATATTATGTTTTTGGTTATTGTGCATCATCTTGTATTCATCTTAAAAATTAAAAAATAAACAGGACGGTTTTAGATAAAGACAAGACAATGGATACTGTCCAAAAACATAATATTTGTCTTATCTTCAAACTTACACTGGAATCACATTTTAAAGTGAAAAGGGTAAAGGTAAAGCTGTCCCTGTAACAGGCCATGGAGGTCCATAGGGTTGTGAGAAGCTGAGACTCCCACATTTTCCAGACAACTGGTTCACAGAAGACAGGGAGGCTGTCAGCCTTACATGCCGGTTGCCCTTTACCCCCATGTAGATTCCTGGTACTCATTTCTGTTAGAGGATGAATCGACCCCAGGGCCACAGTGTTCCTGGAAGGATTAGGTCAACTGCAAACTCCAATGACCTCATCAGGATTCAAACCCATGATCTTCTGGCTTGTAGCTTAGTGCCTCAATGAAGTACACTACCACATACCCCTCACATTTTAAAGTAATATCCAAATCTACAGCTACTGTTATCTTCCACTCTAACAGAAGAACTTTTTAAAACCTCTTTCTCTTTCACTGCAGTCTGCTACTGTTCCTCATTGATATAAGTTCACCACATTGAGCAAATTGTTTTGTATATGATCTACTGCAGTAGCAATCTAACAAGTTACATCAGAGGATGGAACAGAATCACTCAGGGTTGTTGAGGGATGTGGGTACAATCGAGAAAACAGCTAGAAGTGACAACAATGTGGGATGACAATATTTTCAAAATAAACAAGAAGTTCTGGGAAGTTCTTGCCTAGCAACAGTCACTGCACAGGCTCCCCTGTTGCGTGACATCACAGCCTAGCAGAGGGGTGTTTACCAAGCGTTGCGTAATGGTGGAAGGAGTGGGGGTATGTGATGTCACTCGCAAGACCTCTACTTCCTATTGTGCCATCCACATCACAATATGTTACTGATCAGTCTTGAAGCTTTTGCCACCACTAATGCTTACTCAGCCAAAATGGAGTTACTGAGAACTGGACACTGTACCTTTCTATTATATTTTGTCTAGCACATCTCAGAGGATACATAAACATCACATAATAGTACAGATTATGATGTCACTATCTTAAAGTTACTGGACTCTAATTTTAATATATGATGGGAAGCAAAACTGCCATTTATCAGAGATCTCACTCCTTTCCATAGTGTTGCCTACTCAAGGTATGACGTGCCCTCTAGAGATGTTTTAGAACAAGTATAGCTACAATTATGGTACACACACACACAATGCACTGAACCACAAATCAATTTTGATTCAACAGCAAAATCATTACGAAGCTCAACACATGTAGACAACACGCAGCTGATAGGTTCTTCTTTCCAGTAATTCTACTCCACCTGAGGAAATATCACAGATGCCAACAGATTCAGAACTGAGCCATACAGCTCCCTAACATTTTGCTGAAGGTTATGATCAAAACTATATGTCAACATGGAGATAACGTCCACTATTTCAGAGACTGTCTCTGTCTCCATCATCGGGGGCTGATGTGATTATGATGTATTTATATCTGCATAAAAATATCGCATGCAAACACAGAACTTATCATATCAACCCCCTGATGACAGAAACACACTGTGTATGAAACATCAGACATCCACTGCACATTGACAAGGCTGACTGCCATGAAAACTTCAAATCATATATACAGAGTGTCCCAGGAGGAACGGACCAAACTTCGGGAGGGTGTTCCTTATGTTAAAGTATGCCGATATAACCCAAAACATATATGTCCAAAGTTGAACGGTTATGGAGATAATGGCCCGAGAAAAGTGTGGTCTTCTGGTGGGTCCACGCAATATACCTGTCAGCTGGCATGTCTCATCTGTTTGTCCTTGAGTGTCGTGATTCACACTAGCCGTAAGCTCATGCGCTACCTACAGAGTATGTTGAGGCGGTGTCGTGATTAGTTGTGTGATAAGTTGCTGAAATGCCTCTTGTGTTTTCACACATGGAATATTGTGATATGCATTTTGTGTGTGGATTTTGCAGTGGCAATGCATGTGCTGCTGTTGAAGAATACCAAAGGCGTTTTCCTGATCGAAGGATTCCATCTCAAAGTGTATTTATGCGGATTCACCAGACATTGCATGATACTGGTTCTCTTCCAAGTGTTTCTGTGCACTCTGAAAGGGAGAATGTACGAATGATAAACACACGAGAGAACATTCTTGAGATGGTTCAGAGAAGTTCGCGTCTGTCCACTCGTAGAATGGCCTCTCGCATCGGGGTCTCACGTATGCAGGTGTGGCGAACTTTACATGATGAAGAGTTGTATCCTTACCATGAACAAAGGGTACAACATCTGGAACCAGGCGACCATGCACAGCGTATGGATTTGTGCCACTGGATAAAAGCTCATCCCAAACTGTTAAGCGTCATTTTATTCAGTGATGAGGCGTCTTTTACCCTGGACGGTGTAAATAATTTACAAAATGTGCATACGTGGACGCATAATAATCCACATGAGATAATGGAAACGAAATTCCAAAAGAGATTTTCCGTGAATGTACGTTTAATACAGTTATGTGGTCGGCTTATAGTGCAGGCAGCCAAGTTATGTCAGCGCTTGCCAGTCATGTGTCATGTATAGTGCTTGGAAACCCTGAGGACAATTATGACATAGCGAGCGAGTATTCTGTACTTCAATTTTATGGCTCCACGTCACTCACAAGTTAGTTTGATGTTACGTACATTATTAACATTACAGAATCCACATATTCCTGCCAGTTTTAATATGTATTTTGTAATCAACAAGTGTGTAACACCAGTCAAAGTTTCACACTTTTCTGGCCATTATCTCCATAACCGTTCAACTTTGGACATAGGTGTTTTGGGTTATATCGACATACTTTAACATAAGGAACACCCACCCGAAGTTTGGTCCATTCTTCCTGGGACACCCTATATATACAGAGTGTCCCAGGAATTTGGTGCCATACTTCAGGTGTGTACTGAGGGTTCGCTATAGAATAACTTTTAAATAGGAACCCATGTCCGCAAACATAAAATAGCAGCATTAGGGCGGCATTTAAAATCATTTTGTTTAAACTTAAGAGCCTCAATGTCGAACTGCATTGCATTGAGCAGGAGTCTCCCAACTTTTCGAACCGCGGGCCACATCAGGTAATTCAGCAATTTCAACAGGCCAGATAAAATGAGAAATTAATAACTCTAGGTATATGAGTTTTATTGAAAGCACAGAATTTCATAAACTAAATACAAAGTACGTGTGAATAAATTATCGTATATTTATGACAACAGAAAGTAGCAGCAAATGCTCATATTTTCATCACAAATTATAATAAAACAATTTATGTGAATGATGGAACTCTTTTTGCATTCTTAAAATCTGATTGAGGTTCAAATTTTGAAACACTAATCACAAGTAGAGACTTTAAATGTTTATCGGATAAATTTGCCTTTTATTTCGACTTGATGTACTTCATCTGGGAAAAAGTTTGTTCACACAGATATGTCGTCCCAAAAATGGAGATAAATTTACAAGCAAATTTCTTTAAATTTGGAAATTGCTCAGAATTAAGAAATTTATAAAATTCGATCAAATTTCCTTCCTTGTATTTGTCTTTAATATGATAATTTTCCTGAAGTTCAATAATTTCCATTTGAATTTGACTTGGGACATCTGCAGCATCACAGTCAAACGGATTTTGAAACAATCTAATTTCCTGAGCACTGGAATCCAAATCAGCAAATCGCTTCCGAAATTGTTCTTTCAAACCTGAAATGACTAAATTTGCAAATGAGGAAGGAAATTCTGCTTCACTCTTTTTATGCAACTCTGCACAGTACAGCATATGAACAAATAGTTACTATAGGATTCTGACGATGGTGTATAACACACTGATATGTTGGGATTTTGGACTTTATCCATCATCCTGGTCCAGTGATTGAGGCTAGCTCTTTCTAAGGGACCCAACTGAATAGGTGTTTTCCTTCACCTGAGGACGGAAACAGATCCAGTTTCCGAAACGTCGTGTTTTTATTTGTTATCTTAAAAACCAGGACGATGGATAAAGTCCAAAATCCCAACATATCAGCATATGAACAAAGTTACAATTTTTCACTTGACTTTCCAGACGTATCAACTTTGCTCTGAAGGCTTTGATAAGTGCAAAAAAATTATAGACTAAGTTATTTTCACCCTGCAACTTTAAATTCAAATGGTTCATATGGTTCACCAGATCAGCAGAAAATTCTAATTTCCAAAGCGACTCGGTATCTGATGAAAGTTGTTCGTGATGGTTTTTCTCGGTAAGAAATATATCAATTTCATTCCTGAGCTGAAAGAAGTGCGAAAGAACCTTTCCACAGCTAAGCCATCAAACTGCAGTATAATATGTCAGGTCAATAAGCTTGGAATCACATTTACTAATACTCACTGGAAAATTAGTTCAATTGGCACATTTCTGCACAATTCTTTCGCAGGCCGGATAAAATCACGTCGCGGTCCAGATGTGGCCCACAGGCCGTAGTTTGGAGACCCTTAGCATAGAGGAACAGCCATCCACCAGCAATCGTGCTATTGCCAAGATTATGGGGACATCAAAATCAAGTGCTCGGAGGATCCTACACGACCAACAACTTTATCCGTATCATCCAATGTGAGTACATGACGAAGGTCCTGCTGACTTCATACCACTAGTTCAATTTTGTCTGTGGATAATGAACCAGTGTTTACATCAGCCCAACTTCCTGAATCACATGTTCTTCACAGATGAAGCGCAGTTTACAAGTGATGGCTGGTTCAACTGTCGAAACAGCCACATGTGGGCTGATGAAAACCCCGTTACTGTAGTTGGTTACCATCTGGCACAATTTTCTGTCAATCTCTGGGCTGGCATCATTGGCGATCACTTGATTGGGCCTTTCCCCCTACCACCAAGACTCAATGGGCCCTTTCACAAGGTGTTCCTGAAACGTATCCTTCCGACTTTGCTAGAAGACGTGCCACTGACTGTGCAGAGGAAAATGTGGATACAGCATGACGGAGCGCTGGCACACTTCAGCACTGTATCACGAGACTACCTGGATGCTGCTTTTCATGGTCGCTGGATAGGAAGAGGAGGCCCAGTGCCTTGGCCACCCCAATCCCCAGACTAGACACCTCTGGACTATTTCGTCTGGGGTCATGTGAAAAACCTGATCTACGACATGCCTGTGGATAATAAATTTGAGCTGTTGGCCAGAATACTTGCTGCATGTGATGTGATCCATGAGACACCTGGAATATTTGAAAGGTTGCGCCAAAGTTTCTTTCGTCGAAGTAACGCATGCATTGAAAATGGAGGGTGCCAATTCCAACATCTACTCTAGCAGGTGAATCTTAAGAGTTTGGAGGGGGTAATATGCCTGTGCATGCTCTTCGACATTGAGGAGCCAAGTTTAAACAAAATGATATTAAATGCTGCCCTAGCCCTGCTATATTACGTTTGCGGACATGGGTTCCTATTTCAAAGCTGTTCTGCAGGGAACCCTCAGTACGTTCCTGAAGTATCACACACCAAACACCTGGGACACCCTGTATACATGTATGTGTGTGTGTGTGTGTGTGTGTGTGTGTGCACGCGCGTGCGTGTCTGATTACCTGTGAAATGTTTGACCATGCTGCACCAACTGTATAGGATTTTCACTTGAGCCTAGTGGTTTTGCTGAATTGAAGTTTGGCACAGGCATTCGCGTAAGAACGGCTGAAACCATGTTTGACACTTCTGGAGTTGCCATTGTTGGAGTTTTGCTGACTGAAGATGGAGTGATGGAAACAATCTTTGGTGCTGTTGTAACATTACTTGCACTGGCTATCAGCCTCCCTGATGACGGAGCAAGGATACTGGTCAATTTATTGGTGTTATTGTTTATTACAGATTGTAATGTCCGGTTAGTCGCTCCTCCTGCCACCACTCTGATCATTCCACCAGGAGCAGATGTGCTTGTTGCCACAGGTGCCAATATGCTTGACGATGAACTTACAAGTGGGCTGGAATTAGTATCAGCAACCACCTGTGTGGGAATTGCTGAATTTGTTGTTGAAAGAACCAATGGAAGTGAGACAGCGTTTTTCAGACTGGCCGATTCCAGGCTGTTCGGATTAATAGACTGGTTTCTGCCAGATGATACAAATGATGAAGAAAGCCTTCCTAGTGGTGTATCGCTACATTTTGTAGTTAGAGAAGAACTTGTACTAGTGTTGTTTCCAGGTAGAATAACATATGATACTTTGGTCTGTTTTTCTGCTGACATGTCTGATGTGCTCATTCTAGAGCACTGATAATTACTCAAGGATACAGTCTGTTGGACAGATGATAGTGGTGCTGATACAGGCTGTTGTACTGATGACACTGGTTCATTCACAGGTTGCTGCAGTGATGATATAGGTAAAGACACAGACTGCTGCACAGATGGCACAGTTGGAATTGTTGCACTTGTCGTGGTACTGCATCTCACTGAAGGCAATGGCATTCTGGCAAAACTAGTTATATTACTTAATGTAACCCCTACATTTGTTTGCTGAAGACTTACTGCAGGAGGTCCACTTTTTAATTCTTTGTCAATATTTGTAAACTGCCTATTATGAAGGATGCTGCCTTCATCTTGATCTTCCGGAATTTTAACCGTGTATGTCATCTGTCCATCTACAAACTGCGGTATTAATGTTATTGGTTGATTCTGATCACTGATGAGAGGGCTAACAGTCGATGATAGGACGCCCATTCCTTCCCCTGATGATTCCAACATCTGACTATTGTTATCAACATTTCTGCTACTTTGTACCACATCCGCACAAGACGTATTTGTAACCAATTCATTCTCAAACATAACCTCACTAGAGTTCTGTTTTGCCTCCTCAGAATATACCAGTTGTGTACTCGAGTCATCGGATATGTACAAATTATTGTCTGCCGCATGTTCGGATATATCAGGTTCGATTGTTTTATCGTCATCAACGGAGAAATGCAGACCTAAGGCTTCGGCCTGTTCCACTGTCAACTGAATAGTGTGTGTTTCACCCTGATCCCCCTGAAATATTGCCACTAAATTGTCATTACCATCTTCAGTTCCAGGTACTGGTGCGTTGTATTCATCGCTAGTTTCTTCGACTGCGTCTTCTGTTGCTGTAGACACTTCCTGTAATGCCTGTTGCAATAAGTCGGCGTTTATTTCATTTATGGAATTATCACCTGCGTCTCCTTGCAAAATAATAGTTTGTCCATTTAAGAGGAGAACTCGTGTTTGTTGTGATGTTTGATCGTCTGCCATTGTTTATTAAAATACAACTCATTGCAATTTGAAATAAAATTAATGTAACCTATTTATTTTCCTTTCTGTAAACATAATCAGAAATTACTATCATCACTTGCGACCTCAGAAAACCACAATAATCGCCTTTAATGGTCTAGCATCCCACAACAATCTTCTTCGTTGCTTCCATTTTCTATTTTCTTCTCATTGGATGCAACACACCAGCACGACTGGGCACGACACTGTGCAGTGCAGCGCAATGTATAACCAACAAAACCCGTTCATATCACAGGGACACGACAAGATGTGATCCGTGATGTCCGTGATAGTACAACGTTAATGGACAAGACGTGTTGGCTTACACGGCACGTCATGTACAGATTTTTTTTGTGTGTGCCAGTTAGAAACGAGTACTTAGTGTTCGCAATTAACCTCATTGCCATATTTATAAGCATTGTAGCTGCGTTTAAAGCCACATCTTCATGAAGGAATTATCAGACTTGTTTAGTGACCGCTGAAAGTATCATTATGGCATGACATGAATCAACTATGCAGCACTTCCTATGGGGGAAGCTGGTGCTGGTATTAGTTGCTGTAGTAGCAGTGTTACAAGTGGTACACCTTATATTGTTAAGTAGATTAGAAGCTAAACATCACCACCACGAAGATCAAGATGATCATCCAGTTTCATCTGGGAATGAGGTTAGAAAGAAAGTAGACGTTACTGCTAGGTTATGTTTCATATTTTCCATTTTCTTCACGATATTGTAATGGCTTACAGGCGGAAGCAGTATTTACATCGCTGGTGCGGTCACTGCATCAAGGACGGGTGTTAGATTCAAGTGGAGAGTTCCAACTCGTCCTGAATCTTGCTCCTGGGACTCGACAACCACCACCCCGTTTTTCCAGCACTGTCCCAGATATTGCTTTAGTCAGTCAGTGCTCATTCAACCATTTGCATCATATTGTACCCATGGTTCAGCGATGGCAGGTAAGGTTAATCAGTGACATGTTCATGGGATATAATCTTAAAATAGAAAAACGATTTAAAAGTAAAGTAAAGTTGTCCCCGGCTCTCTGCCATAAAGACATATGAGGGAGTGGAGGTGTAGGTGCATTATTCTTGACCTTTGCACTAGATGGAAGTGAGTGGTCATCATCATGCCCCAACTACTTTACCTCCATGGAAACCACTGTCAGTACCCACTGGATAGGAGACTGGGTGTGCCTTAGAACCGGTCTTGACTCTGTAGAGAAAATAAAAGTTTTGCACCTGCCAGGATTTGAACCCCAGCTGCTCATCCCATCATTATACCGGCTAAGCCATCCAATTTGAATAAAAGAATGGTCATAATTTGTTGAATCCCTAATGTGGTAAGGCTGATAAAGATATACATACATAAGATTCAGAAACCATCATTGCCATCGCCATAGGGCATGGATATATCCACACGTGGATTATCACAGAGCTCAAGAAATACAAGTAATGGGGAAATTGGAGTATCTAGCCCATTTCTCACTCTGTTCTGCCTCTCGCCACCATTTATCTCTTCCTCAACACACCATCCTGTTACCAACTTGCAAAAATGTACTCACTTTCAAAGTGGACTTTCTTAATTTCCTTAATGCCTCTGTGCATATCTCTTGTTTTGCTTTTACTCTATTTCAAGCTCATACTTGTATTTGGGAGCTGCTCATTTCAAGTCTTGGCCAGGACATCAGCTGTCATGACTTTGTCAGCAAATGGTAGGGTAGTATTTTAGTTTTGACATTGTACTGTGGGAAGTACTGCCAGCATTGTAGAATACTCCTCAAAAGAAAGTGTGAGAGTTCTTATGTCAGTGACTGTGAAGGGTAACGTCTTCTGGGATGTGACATTGTGTTGTCTGATAGAAGGCTGTTGTTATGTTGCCTCCATTTTCAGTGTTGAAGAATAATCACATGTAAGAAATCAGCAAGCAGAGTTATCTGAGTGGTATGGATATAGGTTGGATTAGGAGTTCTAAGTAAATGAATGAATAAGTAAGGAGTGAGTCACACTGGCCAGGCACCCTGACTGTCAGTGTTCTATGTGAATAAAGTAGTAGTGGCCCTTACAGGTGCTGATGGGGGAATGTGGAGCATGAGGCATGAATTGGAGGTTTAGGGAGGCCTGGAGACTAACAAGGGTAGCAGGCAGAATATACAAGGAGATCTCTTGCGGAGGTTGATAACATCAGCAAGACAATGTCTCTCTGTCTCTCACGCACATGCACACACACACACAGTCAACAAGAACACAGTTATCAGTTTAGCAATACACTGTTGGAGGACATGGTGCACTTAGCCTTAAATAAAGGTTTAAACATGCCATGTGCCTGAGCACATCCACAACAGGGTGTATGTTAAGATTTTGTCTGAGGATGCTGCTGATGAGGTGAGGCAGGATCTACAGGGTGGTAAGGCTGTCTGCTAGAGAAGGTTAGGTAGGAGTTTTTCAGGATTCTTAAATGTCTCTTAGGGCCTTAAATGCCAGTGCAGACCTTATGGCCCTTTGTTCTGGCAAGAGCAACACAACAGTGGTCCTCAACACCACTGATTACAATCACATGATTGGTGCTGTTCTTGAAGACTAGGCCTGCAGGAGGTTTGTCAAGGGCCATATTGTGTGCATGGACTAGAAGATTTTTTCTCTTCAAGAAATCCCTACTTTTAGAGGAAGTCCGCCAACAATGTTGGCCACAGGGCTTGAGGCCTTATGAGCACACTGGGGCTCATCTCTACTACGTCTATAATATCTGCCATGTTTGCCAGGGTTTCACTTGGGTAACTCTCTGAATCATGTGAGGAGCTCAGCATATTTTTACCATATGCTGGGCCCTCTCTAGGCTGTACCCCAAAACATCATGGTCAGTTTTGATGTCACATTCTTCACTAGAGCAGTGTTTCTCAACTTTTGTGAGACTGCAGCCTGGTATATCTTTTTTTATAAGCTGAGGGCCCAGTATAATTGATGCCAGGGCCTGGCGGTTGAGAAACACTGCACTAGGGTGCCAATTAGAAAGGATATGAAGTGCCTAATTAGACAATTTGAGGAGGATGTCCCAAGATTCATGCATTATGCCCTGACATTTTTCATCTTCTGTTTGGGTGCCCACCTCTTTGAACAGATTGACAGTGTGGTTATTGGTTCACAACTATTTCCCATGATTTCCACCTTGTAGCCGTACCACTGACACCACCAGCTTTATTTGCAATCAAGATTTCTTTTTATAGTAATTACGCATAGGATGTAATAAGGAACATTCAAGGGTGACTTAGCCCGATTCTTGGTTTCAAGATTATGGTCTGCTTCGCTGCTACAAAGACCAGGCAGGAAGCACCCTGCAGAGTTTTCCTGGAAATTCAGTTCGAAAGTTGACCGGCTGGATCCTTTGGTAAAGTTACACTTGACAGGTTTTGAATCCCGTAAGTCAAAAGTGGGAAGGCCAGCAACCCACGCTACTGGTATAATTTTTCAAGCAGCTGTCAAAAACGACATTAGGACTTTAAGGTCCAAAGTCCCAAACGAAAGCTAAGTGATTGGAGCAGTGAGAATTACGGTTAACTCCCTAAATTCAAATTGTTCCAATCATCCGAAATTAGGGTAGTGACTTGGAGGCGGAGCTGAAGCTGTGAAGATTTCTGGCTTCAAAGCAGAGTCAGTCTGCTGAAGGAATCTCTGAAGAACTCTCCAAGTGTACAGCCAAAAAATTAGCATCACTGGCAGCTTGGTTCAAAAGTCAGATTTAAAAAAGCAAAATTTTTTTAAGAGTGTTACTGGAACAATCTCTGAATAACTCTGCAGAATTAATTAGACGCAAAAATTAGTGTGAATCTTAATTTGGCTTAAAAGTTTAAGTGAAAATGTAATCACTCCTAAGTGTTTTGCTAAAAAGCAGTCACTAAATAACTGGCCAGGGATCCGGTCGCAAAAGTTTGAGTGACTTAAAATTTGTTTAAGGGATTAAGGACAAGTGCTGTTACCTGAATATCAAAAAGTGCTCATTAAACAGTGTGTGGTAGTGCCTAGCTATAAACACTCTCGTCTTTCCCGCTAACGCGAGGCCTGTATGCACCCTGATACAGAATCTCATTGCCCTAGTGCGAATGCAATACCTATGACCTGTAGTTTCCGGTTCATCCCCCCTTTTTCCTGAAAAGTAAACCTTTATAGTAAGCTTACTGGCCCCCAGCATTCATGTAACCCATATCCCGCAAACATCAAATATCCACAACACCAACAAAAAGGGAAGAACTGGACAAGAAGGACGCAGCAGCAACCTGCAAATTCAGAGTAACAACAGGTGAGAGGGAACGGCTAGAGGAGCAGCTGCAACCAGCAACAAAGGGGCCAAAAGGATAGTAAGAGAGGAGATGGCATCAAACATATAGGCAAATGGTTACAGAGAGAAGGTGGCACAATAACGTGACGGCTCGATATCTCGACAAAAGCAGGATAAAGGGGAGAAGAGTCAGCTGCGATGCTACATACAACACACAACTACGAGCATCAAGAATCATGTGGCAGCTCATCCTACAGAGAGCGATTAAGAAGGACGGAGCTGAAAACTACCAGTTCTGCGTCTCCAGCCAACCCAATAAAGGTCAACAGTCACCGTCGAAAAGGTTAGTGGTGAAGTAAAATGGCAAGCCGTGCACTTCGGAGTAGGACGGTAGAAATCAGCCCAGAGGACTTGGAAATACAGGCAGGGGAGAATCTGAGCGACAGACAAAGTGAGCAGCCAGAGGACTTAGGCAGTTTAGGTAAACCCAGTGAGCCGACATACATTTCACCCCATGAAGTAGCGTTAGGACCTCAGCCAGATGCTTCAACAGCAGGACCGGAAGTTGAGGCTGGAACCCCCAGTCCCGAGTTACTCGGTACAGGCAATTCTATCGAACTAAAACAAATGCTTGTGGGGATAATGGCAGCTATCCAGCAAAGCAATGCAACATTCCAGGAAAGTGTTAGGGCCAAACTTAACACTCTTCGAGAACAAAATCAGTTGTTCCAGGAAAATATTAGAGCAGATATTCGCAGTGTTAGGACTGACCTCCGATCTGAAAATGAGAAGTTGATTAAACGATTTGAGTCACAAACACGTGAGGCCAAATTAGACTTGGAAACCAGACACCTAACTAACTTAGTCAGGAAAGTGCAGCAGGAAACGGAGTCGGAGTTTGTAGCGGTCAAAAGACAAATGCAGACCCTTAGTATGGACTTCGAGGACCGTTTGGAGCATTCCCAGACTAACACGCAGATAGTAATCAGTTAACTTACGGACCAAATAGCAGAGCATAGGTCCGGGTTCGAGGCTAACCTCGCCCAGTTAGGTCAAGAATTCAATAAGAAAAGGATGCTCCAGAAGGAGAACTTAGAGGAAGCTACTAAGTTAGCCAGTCAGGAGAAATCTGTGGTGGAACGCAGATTTGAGCAAGTAGACGCAAAATTTATGGCATTGGAAAGCAAAATTGGGGAAATTCTGAGTAAGCACAATTTTGCGGATGTTTGTACCATAGACCACGGTGCAGTCTCTCCTTCAGTATTGCAGTTGAATGAGCAACCAAGGGATCAGGAAGGTACAATTGGCAACGATGGGCAGGCTGGAGGGAACAACAGCTGTTCTTGCAGGCCAACCCATTGTAACATGGGTGCAACTAGCAGTGTGACTGAGATGACCGAACCTGTCTCAGTGGCTAGTTTTCTAACCAGCTCAGAGCTGCCGTTGCCCTTGTTTGATGGCAATTTGGACACAAACCCGGTATTACATCTCCGGCGCCTTGGTAAGTTCATAAAATTTAGAAATGTACCTAAGAGTTTAGAACTGACAGTAGCCTATAGGTCCATAATAGGGCACATGAGTAAACAGTGGGTGGAGGCTGTCAGCCGGAATTTGGCTGACTATGATGCATTTAAAAAAGCATTTCTGAATTCCTGGTGGGGAGCAGCTCGCCAGAGCTTGAGCAAGT